AACAGGGATACATTCAGAGAACCTTGTTGGGAACATCATAGAGTATAGTTACATAAACCTATATGGGACAACCTACTGTGTACCTAGGCTGTGTAATATGGCCTAATGCTCCTAGGCTACAAACCTTTACAGCATGTGACTGAACTTACTGTAGGCTTGCAACACAGGTGTAAGTATTTGTGTATGTAAACATATCTAAGCACAGAGAAAGTACAGTGAAAACATGATACAAGAGATAAATGATATGCCTGTTTAGGGCACTTGCCATGATTGGAGCTGGCAGGACTGAAAGTTGCTCTGGGTTGAGTCTATGAGTGAATGGGAAGGCCTGGAATGTGACTGTTCACTACTGTAGACTGTATGTAAACGCTGTACAATTAGGCTACACTAAATTTATAAAAAGTTCCTTCAGCAATTAACCTTAGCTTACTGTAACTTTTTAACTTAATAAACCTTTTAATTTTTTTTTTTTTTAACTTTTTGTCTCTTCAAAGAGCTCTTGGCTTAAAACAGCCTCATTATAATATGAATCTACTGTGGTTTATGTGGTCTGTTGTTGACAGAAACGTCATTAGGTGGTGCATGACTAATTACTTTGGGCCTCAGCCTCATCTTGTACCATTTTCCCCCTTGCTGTCTTTGCTCCAGCTGTGTGGTGCCTCCTTCATTCTCGTGTGCTCACCGTCTTCTCCACCAGGAATCTTGGCACTTGTTCTTTCCCTCTGCCTGGAATGCCTTTCTTTATTAACAGTTATTTCTAGTCTTTAGAGTTTGGCTGAAGCATCACTTTTTAATGAAATTTTCTGTGTGCGTGCTCATAAATTTTCATAAGGTAAGAGCTTGGACTGTGCTGATACTCATCACCCACTCCAACAAGTGTCAGTTATCTGAAGTTTTATTTATTTATTTATTTATTATTTTTAAGAGAGAGAGTCTTGCTCTGTTGTCCAGGCTAGATTGCAGTGGTGCAGTCTCAGCTCACTGCAGCCCCTGCTTCCCAGGTTCTAGTGATTCTCCTTCCTCAGCCTCCCAAATAGCTGGGACTACCGGTACGTGCCACTAGGCCCGGCCAATTTTTTTTTTTTTTTTTTTTTTTTTTTTTGTATTTTTTATTAGAGATGGGATTTCACCATGTTGGCCAGGCTGGTCTTGAACTTCTGACCTCAAGTGATCTGCCTGCCTCGGCCTCCCAAAGTGCTGGGATTACAGGCGTCAGCCACCACGCCTGGCCTGAAGTTGTTTGTTGAGACAAGGTCTCACACCAGTTGCCCAGGCTGTCATGCAGTGGCACAGTTTTGATTCATTGCCAGCTCGACCCTCCTGGGGCTCAGGTGATCTTCCCATCTCAGCCTCTGGAGTAGCTGAGACTACAGGCACATGCCATCATGCCTGGCTAGCTAATTTTTGTATTTTTGGTAGAGACAGGTTTTTGCCTTGTTTCCAAGGCTGGTGTTGAGCTCCTGGACTCAGCAGTCTACCGCATCAGCCACCCAAAGTGCAGGGATTACAGGTGTGAATTACCATGCCCAGCTGTCTGAAGTTCTTGAATTTTTTTCGTGACCTGTCTGCAGTCAAGTCCTCTTGGTACCTACCAAAATTACAGTGTTATATTAGTTTATGTAATTTAATTAATTTTAGTTTTCCCACAAAGGTTGAGTTTCATGAAAGCACAACCATTCCTGTTTCTGACCATAATTACTTTTCTAGTACCTAGCTCAGTGACTGGATTGTGAGGGCTCAAGCTACCGTGTGCAGTAGCTAGAATTGAATAATGAGGAAGTCGAGGCTTGTGCAGTTGGCTAAATGTCTTTTTTGCTGCACAGATGTCTGTCATACAGTGATTAGTAAGTAACATTTTGGTGACTTTTAATTGTAATTTTTTTTCAGGATCAAACGGTTTAGAAAAATCCGCTAGGACGGATAAAGAAAAAAGTATATGGGGGATGTGTGTGTATGCAGTAAGGCATTTGTTACAGGAATTTGAGTTCACACAGTCTACGAGTTGGCTAAGCAGTTTCTATCAGGCTGTTTTCCTTGTGCTCCATAATTGAGTTTGAAGTCCACAGGGCAGTCATTTGAGAAAGGAAGATCGATGTAAAGTGGGGAAGAAGCCATAGGCAGGGGGGATGGAAAGCCATGCTAGTTCTAGCTGCCTCTGTTCTGCTTGTGTGGGTGGCCTATAAGAGCTGGATCCTTGGCAAATGTAGCCCGGGAGGCACAGAAGCTTAAGGAGAACCCAGAGGAAGGCCGAGTGGATGTGGCTGTGGTTCTAGGCCAGCCACTGCCTCACAGGACTGGGGTGAGTCAGAAGATGAGCAGCAACAGTGTGTGCAAGCTGCAGGGTGGTTGCTGTATCTCTGCACCCCTCAGCTGCTGCGCAAGAATCTCTTTTGAGCCTTGCAAGTTGGAAACATAAAGGAAAGGAAATTCTGAGGAATGTAGTTCAGCTCAGCCAAGTTCAAACCATACAAAGCAGAATGAGCAGCTCAGGCTTTTAGATTTTGAGCTCAGGTTACATATAAGGAATCTGAAGGTTTCTGTGACTGCTCTAAAAGTGCAAATGTAATTCCCAATTTGTGGGTGAGATCATTGATTGGTAGGAATGGAATCCTGAATATTGGATTGGACGCATATTGTTAGATTCTGTTCAAACTGGAGACCTTAAATCTTTAAATGTTGGTCAGCTACCTTTTCGGGAGAAGCAGCCTTTCTTCTCAGAGGAACTTAATCTCCCTTTGCCCGAAAAACCTGTAACTGGCCTCCCTTTGGGTAGTTGCCTTGTAAGGTACTGTCTTTCTGTGAATCTGCCCTGTAATCTTCCTTTCTTGTAATTCTGTGACTGGACTGTTATTGTGGCAGGTCCCAAAGAGTGAGGTAACCCATGAGAAAGGCATGCTACACTCCAAAAGATTGTATAGTTTTGCCCCTGTATGGTCATGACCCTTAAGGAATATTTGTGACAATGGATCTTAGGGGCGTTGTATAATAGTGGAAGGAACATAAAGTTGGATCAGGCAGAATTTATTGATATGGGCTCACTAAGTAGAGCTTCTGGATTCAGTGTTATAGTTCATGGAGTTAGAAAGGGCTCTAACGGTTGAGTTGATTGGCTGAGGCCCATCCTACAAGGTCTAATGCCTCAATTAGATTTTTTCCGGCCTAACAAGGAACTCCACTGAACACTCATCTTATATAGGAATCTATATTTGGCCTGGCATGGTGGCTAATACCTGAAATCCCAGCACTTTGGGAGGCCAAGGCAGCAGATCAGCTGAGGTCAGGAGTTCGAGACCAGCCTGGCCAACATGGCGATTCCCCATCTCTACTAAAAATACAGAAATTAATGTGGTGGCCCATGCCTGTAATCCCAGCCACTCAGCAGGCTGAGGCAGGAGAATTGCTTGAATGCAGGAGGCAGTGGTTGCAGTGAGCCAAGATTGCACCATTGCACTCCAGCCTGGGAAACAGAGCAAGACTCTGCCTCAAAAAAAAAAAATTAGCTGGGTGTGGTGGCTTGTGCCTGTAATTTTAGTTACTCGGGAGGCTGAGGTGGGAGGATCAGTTGAACTGGGAAAGTCGAGGCTGCAGTGAGCCATAATCATGCTATTGCGCTCTAGCCTGGGCAATAGAGCAAGACCCTAATAAAATATTAGTCCATAAGGATAGGTTCACCTAAATGCATAGCCTTTAAATAAATAACTTGTGTCATTTGTTGGACTATACTCTAGTAGGACCTCTTTGGAGGATGGGTGCATTAAAACAGAATTTTTTTTTTTTTTTTGAGGTAGAGTTTTGCTCATTGCCCAAGGTGGACAATGGTGCGGTCTCAGCTCACTGCAACTCCTGCCTGCTGGGTTCAAGCTATTCACCTGCCAGAGCCTGCTGAGTAGCTGGGGATTACAGGCTCCTTCCACCATGCCCAGCTAATTTTTGTATTGTTGGTAGAGATGGGGTTTCACCGCATTGGCCAGGCTGGTCTTGCACTCCTGACCTCAGGTAATCCGCCCGCCTCAGCCGCCGAAGGTCTTGGGATTACAAGCATGAGCCACTGCACCCGGTCTAAAACAGATTTTAAAATGCGTGTACTCTATGTATCCAGCAGTTTCACTGCTAGGAATTTCTCGTAAAGATTAATTTGGATAGTATACAAATATGTATGTGTAAGGTTTTTCATTATATCAGTGTTTGTGATTGAATATGTATGTGTAAGGTTTTTCATTATATCAGTGTTTGTGATTGAGAAAAATTAGAAACAACTGTCCAAAAATGGAGTTAAGGTAGAGTAAATTACTATCATACCCATACACTGAAATATTCTGCCATTGTTAAAAATAAGAGGTTGACAGGAAAAAAAATTTAATACAGCTATTCCTCCATATCAGGGAATTGGTTCCAGGACTGCCCAACCAGTGGATACCAAAATCCACAGATGCTCAGGTTGCTTCTATAAATTGGTATATTTGCAAATAACCTGTGCATATCTTCCTGTATGAATAATCTCTAAATTGCTTATGTATGTAATATAGTATAAATGCTATACAAATAGTTGTTATACTGTATTGTTGAGGGAATAACTATAAGGAAAAAAATTTATGTTTGGTACAGATGGAACCATCATTTTTTTCCCCGAATTTTTTAAATGTGAGGTTAGTTGAATCCACAGAAGTGTAGTCAAGGGATAAGAGGGCCCAGGGCTTACTGTCTTACAGGGAAAATGTAACATTTAATAAGAGAAGCAAGTTTGTGGAACTGTATGTTCTCACTTATGTTGAGATGTTATATATCTGCTTTAAGCCTTTGCATAGAAATACATTGCTAAATTCCTAGCAGTCTTTTCCTTTTATTAATGCATACTATTTTACATCTTTATGGGATACATAAGAATGAATACTTGTTTTTGTTTGTTTTTTTTTTGAGACGGAGTTTTGCTCTTGTTGCCCAGGCTGGAGCGTAAGGACACAATCTCAGTTCACTGCAACCTCCACCTCCCAGATTGAAGCCCTCTCCTGCCTCAGCCTCCCGAGTAGCTGGGATTACAAGCGTTGTTGCCCAGGCTGGAGTGCAATGGCACTATCCCGGCTTCCTGCAACCTCCACCTCCTGGGTTCAAGCGATTCTCCTGCCTCAGCCCCCTAAGTAGCTGGGATTACAGGCATGCACCACCACACCTGGCTAATTTTGTGTTTTTAGTAGAAACAGGGTTTCTCCATGTTGTTCAGGCTGGTCTTGAGCTCCCACCTCAGGTGATCCACCCACCTTGGCCTCCCAAAGTGCTGGGATTACAGGCTGACCCACCACGCCCTGCCCATGTTCGTTTTTAATGTGAGTGTGCGTGTAGTTGTTAGTATATTCTTTTATTATCTGTTTAGTGACTACAGGATCTGTGGTTATATCTTCTCTTTCAGTGCTAGCATTCTTTTTTTTTTTTTTTTTTTTTTTTTTTTTTTTTTTT